GACGAGTCGGCTGTGGTGCCGACAAGTGAGCGCTGCTTCTCTGCCGCTCACTGCACAGAGCAGACGCTGAGAGAGGTGACACTTCTCCGGGAAAGTCAGACCTCGCGTTCGCGGGACAGCACTGGCGAAATGCGACATACACCGGTATTGCGGTATTTTAAAAATTCATATTATATAACAAAAATAAACACCGGTATTCGGTATGAACCAGTATACCACCCAGCACTACTGTAAAGCCACTAACAGAATCACAACAATGGATTCATATTCTGGAATGCCAATTGTCCTCTTAACTTAAAAAAAAAAAGAAAAAACTGTACAAAACTATAAGCAAACAAATGCCATCTGGGTTTGATTATTTTTTTTCATAAATTAGTCTTCAGTTGCTCTTTTCTCCATCATTTACTGATAAAGGTCCCATCAGTCCGTAGAAACTAGGGATGCACCGAAATGAAAATTCAAGCTATTTTCCCATTTTCCAAGGTATTAAATTTGGTATAATCTTTTCATTATGTATATTTGTCCGAATAGTGGGGTTCTGTGTAGTTTATTTATGGAATCCCGCAAGATTTGACGTCATCTGTTACGGCACTCACTGACTGACTGCGCTGCTGCGTGATAGCGCGGGCTTGTTGATCCCGCTCTCGCTGAATTTCTGAACATTATCGCATGCTCCCATCCGCTCCTGCGATTTTTGTGTGCGCTCCTGCAAACATTCTAATATTTTCACGCATCAGGGTGCCCCTATCAATATGTGGCGTATTTAAACCCCTTTTGAATGAGTGCTAGCAGTCGCAGTTAACTTTCACTCTACAATTTAGCTTAAAATTATTAAGTTGGTAAAATAATATTTTTTGGCCATTTTTGAGACTTGAATCAGCATGTATTTTTTACTGTACAAATAAAGGCAGCCTTGCTGAGCAGAAGAGACTTCTTTTAATACGTTAGAATATATTACAGATCCCAATTTGAACACTATGTGTGAATGTTATAATAAATGTATTAACAGAGCTATTGTAGGGTAATTATTATTATCATTATTATTGTCTTAATTTTTATTTTATTTTACATAATGGCAGTCAAATTACAATACTATCATTTATGAATGTCGATGGAGTTGTTGCTTTTTCTCTGCTTTTATTTTGGCAGAAACCCGCAGGAAGATCTCAGTGCTTCTTTTTGTTGACAACAGCATGCAGATTTATAAATGATTCTCATTACGAATTTGGGAAGATGTTTGTCGCACGTATCACATTGTCACATGCCTTTAAAAAAATTCACAAAAATGTTTCTGAGCAACTGACGAGTAACACAGTTTTCGCGCAGATTTTCCTCGCGCTTTGGACTTTGAACCCTGACACCGCGAGCTCGTGCAGCGCTGTCAGAATACATGCAATTCGTGCATGCATTAGAAAATATAACATTCTGCAGTTTATTTACTAATCGTTTGAGTTAATTTTGCGATTTCAATCATCATACAGTAACCTAATCACCAGCATTAGCCACCTCTTCTTCTCATCGGAGACTTGATGCAGCACTAAGTCTCTCGCTGTTGGTGCTTCACGCTTGTAATGATTTCTGCGTCTTTCTCTGATCGTTTTAAATACTTTCACACTGTCGACATGTTTGCTGCATTAGCGCGTGCCTCTATTTGATTGCGTTCGTCATTGTTTGGTTCATATTATTCGGCCTTTTCGCTTATTCATCTTATTTCGACCGAAGGAGATTTTTTTTATTTTCGGCCGAATAATTTCGGGTGCCGAATATTCGGTGCATCTCTAGTAGAAACATAAACATATTCTGCATTATCTGCATGTTAACTTGTTAACTTAGTCCTAGTCAAACCTTATGACAAAAAAAAAACAATTACAGTAAGATTCTTAGACATTCTGTAATTCATGTTCAATTTTAATTCAAACTTTCACTCATTGTTACTCTGGCAATATCATTTGAAGACATGTTTATATATGTCTTTTTGTATACTGGTTTGTCTCTCATTGCTCTTGCTCTTTAAAAGTAGGCCAGCTGTAAAGCAAGTTAGAAATGTCACACTATTTTATATTAAGTACTTTTCTTATTTCTGTCTTTTTAGCAAGTACAACCCTCCACTTTTAGAGGACAAAGTTACCAAACTGAAGGTGACTATGGTGGCCTGGGATTGCAATGACAACACAGTCATTACCGCTGCGAACAACTTGACATTGAAAGTGTGGAACTCGTACACAGGGAACCTTATTCATGTATTGATGGTAAGAGTGCAAAGATCTCTCCACGATGACTGAAAGGAGGCAATATGTGATGAATAATGTTGTCGTTATGGCCTTCACCCACAGGGCCATGAGGATGAGGTGTTTGTGTTGGAGCCACATCCATTTGATTCCAGAGTGCTTTTCTCTGCTGGGCACGATGGAAACGCCATCGTCTGGGATTTGGCAAGAGGAGTCAAAATACGCTCTTACTTTAACATGGTAAACTAAATGGCTACACTATATTTCTTTAATCAGATTGCATCACATGCTTGACTAAAACAAATCTATGCAAATCTATTGATTTATTGGTGTTTATTGTGCCTCACAAACATCCTTTCTCTACGTGTGTGTGCGTGTGTGTGTGTGTGTGTGTGTGTGTGTAGATCGAGGGTCAGGGCCACGGTGCGGTCTTTGACTGTAAGTGCTCTCCTGATGGGCAGCACTTCGCTTGCACGGACTCCCACGGTCACCTGCTCATCTTTGGCTTCGGCTCTAGCAGCAGATACGACAAGGTACTGAATTCCAATGTCTGTCTCAGATGCTATGTTCCGAATGAAATATTAGCATACTATTTGCTGCATTTTGCTCTCTCTATAATGAATAGTATATTGTCACATAACCTCATCACATTGCATGTTTGATTCAGTGATTTAATTTTAATTCTAGTTTGTTTTAGTAATTTCATTATGGGCTTTTGCCATTTTTATGAGCTTTTTAATATTTCTATTTAGCTTTAATTCAGCTTTATAATTTAAAAAAATTATATTTATATTTTATTTTCTTTCAGCTTTATTTCAAATACTAAAAATTCTAAGATTTTAATAGTTTTCATTTTAGGTAACAATAGGGATGCACCGATACCACTTTTTCCAGTACTCGCCCGATACTTTTATTTTTGGTACTTGCCGATACCGAGTACCGATACCAATATTTTTATTGCATTTGTAAATGTTTTAAATATTGGGTACAGAAACCAAAAGAGTATGTATAATGTTAGTTGGTTAACTTCATTTATCAAATAGATACAGTCAAACCAAAATTTATTCAGACACCTTCAACATTTCTCACATTATCACAGTTTATTCGCTATAGTTTAGAAAATGGTAATAAAATATGACAAGAACTCAGAGTTAAACTGTGTCAGAACAAATTCATCTTGATAATGTTAGATAATTTTGATAGAAAGGTATGTAATGGATTACAATCAACCCAAATAATTCAGACAGCTGTTAGTATGTGTCACGGTGCACACACACGAGGAACGAGGAGACGCTGGAGAATACTTTACCAAGACTTTATTTTCAGGAACCAAGGGAGACGAACTCAGGAAGACGTTTAACAGCGGACAGAGAACTAGGGACTGGGAACACTTTAAATACACACAGGAGGAGGGGATGACGAGACGCACCTGGGATCAATGAACCATCATGGGGAACACCTGGGACAAATTAAACATGGGAAAGGAACACCTGGGGAGCAAGACACAGACAAAACATGGAACAGAGTCTGACATAACGCCCCCCTCCGGAAGGTGTGACCTCACGTCATATAACATCCAATGGGGAGGGGTGGTGCACTCTGGAGGTCCCTCAGGACAGACACGGGACAGTGGGCCTCCAGAGCGGTACCCGTTCGG